TTTTTTCTTTGGTACAGAGACCTTCCGGTTTCCGGATCCACAGAGGAACCGACTAATCCGAAATCGAATTGGGTAGGACCACAAGAGCTGCAAAACTCTCCCTCAAGAGTTTTAACACTGCTACATGATGCAGAGTTTTGAGATAGCAAACTGAAATTGATGTTGGGTAGTGGCGGGTGGATTCCATTATGCTCGCCGGTAAATTTGCGGTGGCTCTGTACCGTGGTTGTGGAAAATTAATAATGGGTTTTTTAATTGATTTTGGTGTGAAAAATCTTTTAAAAAAAAAGCCACCTCACATGTGCCACTAAAATTGATAATTATAATTAACTAATACAACGCCGGGTACTTGCTAGTTTTTTCCTTAAAATCTAAAATTAATGAGGAAAAGTAGTTGAAAATTTAAATACCTTTTATTAAAATATATATTATTATATATTTAGTATGAAAATTTTTATTTGTGTGACTTGTGTTATATTATAATAATTTTTTTAACTTACAACATATAACTACATTAAACATAGATATATCAACTGAGAATTTTATTATTTTTTATTATTATAAAGATAAATATAATTTATTTATTTTATATCTACAATATGAATGTCAAATCGAAGATCATGAAAATATGATTAATTTGATATATTATATATGTAAAATCGATAAGAAATACAAAAGTTATCAACTTTTAAAATACATTTATAATTCAATAGTTATTTGAAAGAAACAAATCAAAGTCAGAGATATATTACCCACTTAGTGTTTCACTATGTAAATTAATAAAGAATCTATCTATATATAAAAAGGTTGTTGGAATAAACCTTTTTAGAAATTTTTGACCAAAAAATAATAAGTTTGACATTCTATTTTTAGAATTCTTGAAAGCTTTTATAACACACTGAGATTAAAATATGTGGACCGTCGATTAAAAGTCATATTTGAATTCAAATTTGGAATAATGAGAGATTATTGGAATTGGATAACTCCTAGAACGGTAGATTAAAAGTCATATTTGAATTCAAATCTATATATCTATATATAAAAAAGATTTACCATTTTTCAAAAATAGTAGGTCAAATTTTGGTCAAAATTATTTTGCATTAATTACATTCCATTCTTAGTAACTTTTCTTTTTTTTTTTAAATAAAAAAGTAGTATTAAATGCTACCCATTAATTAAGGATTTTGTTATTTTAGTTTTCAAAAAAACCATGAATGTTGCCTATTATTTGGGGCTGATGTTGTTTTATTTTTAAAAATAATGTTTAATAAAGGAAAT